ATCAGTGTACATTTAACAAATCATTAAGGATTATAGAAATCATCTTATTTGATCCGATTATTTGTAAAAACGAGGTTTTAAGAATCATAAACGTCTTATTACAAGTTATGAAAATAGATATGGATATGAAAATGATTTCTATGCGATGATTCTGGTATAAACGGTGCGACGACAGAGTGGGTGGATGGTTGTGTGTTGCACGCGCGCGCGTGCGTGTGTGCGTGTATGTATGCCTATGTGTGCGCGTATGTTGCACGACTGTGAGTATAGTACACGCACACATATGGATTCACATCCAACATACACATACACACACATACACATACACACACACAAATGATTATTGGTATTGTTTTATACTGGTATTAGCACTATATATCAAATAGTTATAAAATAAATAAGAGAAGTAAACAGTTTAATGAACAAACTTGCTAATATGCTGGGCACACAAGAAATACATTCTATGCATGCAAACTAAATATACTGAAATATAACGTTCACATAATGAAATCACATTCAATTTAAGCTAAACAAGATTAGCAATTTCTAAATTTCTCGATATGGTGATGTTAAATTTCTTTTGAGCTAACTGAACCGAATAAATGATGCTTACAAGAGAACATATACCGATTATTAAAACGCATTCCTGTTCTGAATATTACTATCGCGAATAACGTCTCTGATGTACTAAGGCAAACTTTGAAACAAAAAGACAGACAGACTCAACCACTCACGAAACATATGTACTAATTGTCATTGCCTGTGTGGCATCAATTAAATATCAAATCAAGACTCCATTTTACCTGAGTTCAGAATGGAGCCTTGCGTGGGCCGAAATAGTTGTAGAAGTAGTAGACGTAGTGTTAAACAGAGGAACAGATTAGTTGCATACATTAATTAGTTCATTAATTTTGTTGTAGGGTTTCTTATTTAAAGTTTGTTAAAGTGTTTTATTTTATTGTAATAAGTGGTAGAGCGCACTTAAATGTAGCTGCTAATATTAGGGCAAATCTGAGAAAATATGTTTTACCATGCTCAACTCTTTTTGTTATCAAGTAATTATATTGAAATTATTTATATTTTTATTTTAGTATTGTGGGGAAAACATATTTACAGTGAAATTTGCATTAAATTTAATTGTCAAGTTGAACATAGCTTAATGACGTAACAATATGACAGAGAGAAGCTGGAATTATAATATAAAATTCCACAATGTAGTGTACTATAATTACTACTAATGAAATTGAAATTTCTAAATATTTTTAAATAATGATATTGTCAATTATCTTAGATGATGGAAATAGTACCCTTTTGTAGTGTCATTAATCTTTCATATGCTCGATACATTTGTATGCACGTTTTATCAAGTTTCACAATTTGATATTTTTTATACAATTTGTATAAAAAAAAATTTTTTATACAATTTTTATAACTTTATATTTTATAATCTACAGCCACAAGGGAAGAGAAATCGTAGACACATATAAAGGGTACGTCCTAATGATGGATGATATGAATTTAAATTAAAAAGAAATAAACAGAACGCATTTTTATTATCCAAAATCAACAGGTTCTATACCGAACGAAGAGTTGGTACAATGGAGCTTGGGACGATCAAAACTAGGATGGAATGTAAAGTGATCGTCATAGCGAAAGTGAAATATCGAAAACACTGCATAAGCCACATTTCAGAAACAAAGTGTTAATTTTTCATTGAATAAATCTCGATAAGCAGATTAAGGCAGTGAAGAAAAAGTGTGGCTCTAACTTATAATTAAATGAAAACTTAATCTAAAGACTAAAATCTCCCTAAATACGATGCTATTAAATTTAATAAAGCCATTAATTCAAGAATTTAATAGTGGACTTAAAGCGAACTAAATATTGCATTCAATATACGACGAATTTGCATATAAATAGTCGAGATCTAAAATAAAATTTGATTAAAACCTATCGATTTTCTATCAGGCGTAGACCATTTCAAAAATCCAGCAGAGATTATTTTCACAAAAACCACTTATGTTCAAAATATGTCTCTTAATGTATTAGATGTAGCATATATCTTGAAAATATATCTCATGCTTGACATGAAATGGATTATTTATATATATTATGAATGATCATGAATGATTGCATGAATGAATGTATGTCTATATGAATGTGTGTGTGAAGAGATCTTGTGTATATCACGTTATTTTTATTTTCTATGATTTCATAAATAACTCCAGTCAGCCAAGTCTGTTAAAAATAAATTTTTTAGTGCTTAATACAAAGAACTCCGCATTAATTATTTAATTATTAAATTCATCCCAGTGAAATGAGTTGGCTTTCATATATGTACTTATAATGTGAATAAAACAAAATGTTATAAACACAAGGTTTAATAATGGATGGTTTTTTAATTATGGTGTATCAAAAATGTAAAACTTGTACTCAAAGCACCTTTGATCATCATAACTTAAAAACTATTCATTATTGAGCCTTATATCTATTTATGATATCTTCTGTTCACATTATATACATTATATAAAAACCGGCTTTTTATCAGAACTCAATTTTCCATAATTAGTGCGAGGTCCTTTTATTGATAAAACGGCACCAAATTTTGATACAAATTCTGTTATATTTCGCAATAATGTCCACAAATTGGTGGCAGGTAATAACAAAGTAGTAAAACATGAGAACAAATTGACGGCAAAATCGTGCATGAAAATTTATAAAATCGTGCAAAGCTTTCTGACAATCTAATAGCAAATTGACGGCAAGAACTGACCAAAATCATAATCTACCAAAGCTTTGCTCGGTTTTTGTTGACAATTTGGTCTCATTAAGTCAGTAAAATACGTACTGCGGACACAGTTGATGCCAATTTGCTAAATATTTTGACCAAATTTGCCAGCAATTTTTAGACCAATTGCTAACATTTTACTGACTGGGAATGTTTTTATCGATTTTTAACCTTTTATAAATAATGAAAAATTTTAAATTTGACAATAGTAGTATATGTATACGTGCTATTGTCATGTGTATGTATGTCTGTATGTGTGTGTACATGTGCGCGTGTATATGTGTGTGTGTATATATATATATATATATATATAATATATATACATACACACACACACACAATTAAGAAATTATTGAATGTACGTCTATAACTAGATGTTATTTGCACATTAAAAATATTTTGAATAGAGAAAATGTGCTTACCAATTCCAAATGGTTTTGGCGGTACAGATATAAAGTTTTCATCATTTCTTGCATGACCTGTTGATGCACGTCGCGGATGCGGAAGACCATTTTCCATATTGAGATCTGTTACACTTTCCGAACGAGTAACATTTAATGAATCCATTGACATATCGAATCTCATAATCTGTAAAAACCCATGAAAATCGTTTCATTTGAGAAATCTGATACATTTTATTGAACGAAAAGTGCATTAAAAATTATATGCGAAGTAATGGAGATGGAACATTTTAGTTGAAATAAAATTTTAAATAAAGTTTCGATGGAGGATG